AATATAAAGTATCACCATGCCACCAATATAAAGTATCACCATGCCACCAATATAAAGTATCACCATGCCACCAATATAAAGTATCACCATGCCACCAATATAAAGTATCACCATGCCACTAATATAAAGTATTACCATGCCACCAATATAAAGTATCACCATGCCACTAATATAAAGTATCACCATGCCACTAATATAAAGTATTACCATGCCACTAATATAAAGTATTACCATGCCACTAATATAAAGTATCACCATGTCACTAATATAAAGTATCACCATGCCACTAATATAAAGTATCACCATGCCACTAATATAAAGTATTACCATGCCACTAATATAAAGTATCACCATGCCACTAATAAAAAGTATCACCATGCCACTAATATAAAGTATCACCATGCCACCAATATAAAGTATCACCATGCCACCAATCTAAAGTATCCCCATGCCACTAATATAAAGTATCACCATGCCACCAATATAAAGTATTACCATGCCACCAATATAAAGTATCACCATGCCACTAATATAAAGTATCACGATGCCACTAATATAAAGTATCACCATGTCACTAATATAAAGTATCACCATGCCACTAATATAAAGTATCACCATGCCACCAATATAAAGTATCACCATGCCACCAATATAAAGTATCACCATGCCACCAATATAAAGTATCACCATGCCACCAATATAAAGTATCACCATGCCACCAATATAAACTATCACCATGCCACCAATATAAAGTATCACCATGTCACTAATATAAAGTATCACCATGCCACTAATATAAAGTATCACCATGCCACCAATATAAAGTATCACCATGCCACCAATATAAAGTATCACCATGCCACCAATATAAAGTATCACCATGCCACCAATATAAAGTATCACCATGCCACCAATATAAAGTATCACCATGCCACCAATATAAAGTATTACCATGCCACCAATATAAAGTATCACCATGCCACTAATATAAAGTATCACCCTGCCACTAATATAAAGTATCACCATGTCACCATTATAAAGTATCACCATGCTGCCATTATAAAGTATCACCATGCCACCAATATAAAGTATCACCCTGCCACTAATATAAAGTATCACCATGCCACCAATATAAAGTATCCCCCTGCCACTAATATAAAGTATCACCATGCCACCAATCAGAGGCGTAGCGATGGGGGCAGGGGGGAGCAGATGTCCCCGGGCGCCAGCTAGTTAGGGGTGCCAAAATATGCTTTGATATTATTTTATTTAAGAAAATTATGGGTTTGAGAGTTGAAAAAAGAAAAAGGGGGTACTTTAAATAAATGGATCTTGTCCCCTGGCGCCGAACACCTTCGCTATGCCTCCGCCACCAATATAAAGTATCACCATGCCACCATTATAAAGTATCACCATGCCACTAATATAAAGTATCATCATGCCACCAATATAAAGTATCATCATGCCACTGCTATAAATCATTATTGTTCTGCCCCAAAAGAGCATTATGCCCCGTCTTCTCGTGTAACGTATTGAATTTTTCTTTTAAACAAAATCTCACTAAGGAAAGTTGTGGCTGCAGTGTTAACGATGTGGCTGCAGTGTTAACGATGTGGCTGCCGTGTTAACGATGTGGCTGCCGTGTTAACGATGTGGCTGCAGTGTTAACGATGTGGCTGCAGTGTTAACGATGTGGCTGCAGTGTTAACGATGTGGCTGCAGTGTTAACGATGTGGCTGCAGTGTTAACGATGTGGCTGCAGTGGTAACGATGTGGCTGCCGTGTTAACGATGTGGCTGCCGTGTTAACGATGTCGCTGCAGTGTTAACGATGTGGCTGCCGTGTTAACGATGTGTCTGCAGTGTTAACGATGTGGCTGCAGTGTTAACGATGTGGCTGCAGTGTTAATGATGTGGCTGCAGTGTCAACTTCAATCATGTGTTTAGAGTTGCCAATGTTTGTTAAAACTTATGTCACGTATAAAGCATCACCAGTGGCCATGAGTGCATTCTGCCTACACCAAACAAAAAAAATTAAATTATACCAACCCTAACTTACATTTAGAAAAAGATATTGTGGAACAGTCTTAGGTGCTCAATGAAATGTTCTTTTAAATAAAACCTTAGAAAACATATCTGTATTTACAAAAAAAACATGTTTCATCTAAATGCTATGGACAATATACAGCGTACCTCGATAATTTTTTAGCAATAAACTTTGATATAAATTTAAAATGTGCTCTACCATTAACCCCGACAGGTTCTTATTTCTACTACTACTAGTGACAGGCTGATTCCTATGTAGAATTTTTTTTTAAAAAGCTACATTATAAGAGGCACTAACACAACACGTTCAAGGAAACCTTTTCATTTAATTGGTCGAACACAGCCATGAGACATTTCCTTGAAGTCTACTTTAACATTTTTTAAGTCTCAGTGTCCATACAATAAATTTAGGTATCCTGCACATTATAAATAAACCTTTAAACTGCGTGTATGAACAAAATAGTGTGTCTTTGAAATGAATTAAGCTTTAAAATACTTTAATTATAGTCCAACTCCCTTATAAGTTTCTGTTCGAACTGTTATTTAATGTGAGAAAAAAACAACAACTAAGTTGTCGTCGGGAATGCATAACAAATGATAATAAATACATATTCACATACATTATACATAAATATATATATATATATATTTGTGTGTGTGTGTAATATATATACCTGGCCTCGTAAGCCATTTGATAAAGTGTCCATAGCCACTCCATCGTCCTGCACAGACAGAAGGATACCATATAAAATATACCCGGTATATATTGTCACGAGAGATTTTCACTGGCACTGGAATGTTAATATAAGCAAATGATCTGTAACTTAATTTTAAAGGGTAACCTGTATTTCCAGTTTATAGAAGTAAATTGATCTACAAGTCCATGTTATAGAAGCCAAGTGACCTGCAAATCCATTACATAGAGGCCAATGGACCTGCAAGTCCATTTTATAGAAGATCAGTGACCTGCAAGTCCATTTTTATAGAAGCCAAGTGACCTGCAAGTCCATTTTATAGAAGCAAAGTGACCTAAAAGTCTATTTTATAGAAGCCAGGTGACCTGCAAGCACATTTTCATAGAAGCCAAGTGACCTGCAAGTCCATTTTATAGAAGCAAAGTGACCTGCAAGTCGATTTTTATAGAAGGCAAGTGACCTGCAAGTCCATTTTTTTATAGAAACCAAGTTACCTGGAAGTCCATTTTATAGAAGCAAAGTGACCTACAAGTCTATTTTATAGAAGCCAAGTGACCTGCAAGTCCATTTTATAGAAGCAAAGTGACCTACATGCACATTTTTATAGAAGACAAGTGACCTGCAAGTCCATTTTATAAAAGCCAAGTGACCTGCAAGTCCCCTTTATAGAAGCCAAGTGACCTGCAAGACCATTTTATAGAAGCAAAGTGACCTACATGCACATTTTTATAGAAGCCAAGTGACCTGCAAAACCATTTTATAGAAGTAAAGTGACCTACAAGTCCATTTTATAGAAGCCAAGTGACCTGCAAGTCCATTTTATCAAAGCCAATTGATCTGCAACTCCATTTTATAGAAACAAAGCAACTTGCAAGCACATATTTATAGAAGCCAAGTGCTCTGCAAGCCCAAAGTGAATGAGGTGATGTAAAAAAATTATAATACATTGACGATATGGTGATGTACTTCAATACAATGACATGGAGGAAAACTTTTTAAAGATTCAAATAGAATGGAATGTAGCTATCAAAAATATTAAGTATTTGAAAATTTAATGTTATCGTTATCGGTGAATAATATAAGCTCATTTATTTAACTCCATAAATTCCATACTATTTTTACACTGATAATCAGACTATCTACTTATGGCACCATAATAAAGAGAAAGACAATGAGTGACATTGTTTTTTCCGTTGAACAGCTCAAGTGCCAAATGTAAGAAGTATAAGGATGTTTATCTTTAACTAAAAAATGTGTAAAATTCAAAAACAGTTTTTACATTAATAAAAAATTCACTTATAATATCACGCGTCCTGAAAATGGAACAAAGATTGCACAGTTTTAGATATTTAAGGTTCACTCAAATTACTAGAAAAGTATATCAAGGATAGCTGTTTAAGATTAAGTCTCCTCCTTTTAGGATAGACAAAAGTTGTGTATATTTACACCCACTACTGCCTCCACAACATTACACTTGAATTCCTCAACATATAACAATCGACACATTGAAAAATTTATTGACTGTTATATATGCAAATCAATTATCTACTTTTAAACAAAATAAAGTTAAAGATATATCGAATAATCATTAAATGCTAAAGGGTTAATGGGTACGAGCATATATTTTTATGATGACATGACAATTCCAACAAATAATCAGGATGGTTCAGACCATTGCCTTGACTCGATGCCACACGAGTCTAGACATAATAAGATCAGGGTAATAGCTAGCTTGTACTACAAAAATAATGCATTCATTTTAAGAAGGGGCTGAATGGGGCATTCGTTTTTATGGTGTTAAATTATTGTGTAGAGTTTGTTTGAGTTGGTGAATGAAGTTTTGCCTCAACCTGCTTAGCTCCCAGAATGAGTTAAACAGCTAATGACAAATAGAGATCTCAGAGTCCTTTGGATAAGTTACGGTTATCTTGAATGGACTTTTCCATCATTGATCTTGAAACCAGAAAACAATAAGGATAATTTAATTACTTAACAACCTTTAAACAGTGGAATAAATGACATAGAGATTTAAAAAATGAAGTCATAAGTAAATATAACTATAAAAAAATGACTGTAAACTAATGAAACATTTATCACTTTATGATGCCACTCAAAATCATGTCAAGACCTTTCAAAGCAAGCACACAATAAAAGAATATGACATAAAATCTAAATGGATCCTATGGCCAATATTAATTTTTAGGATTATTTTCTTTTGTAGGTTATGATGTATTCTGGGTAGCACCGACTCATGTCGTACACAACAAACTCTCTGAAGAGAATTCTAGTATCAGTAAGTACACTGTCAAGCGTAACAGAGTCACAATGATGGTGTCCTACATCAGAGCACACGTCACTTTGACACTGAGCACAAGGAGGTCGCTTCAATGGAGTAAAACCTTGACCTTGACAAATATAATATATAGATTAAGCATAAAATAAATGTTGGCTACAATGTGGACTATCAAATTATTTTAATAAAGAAATATAAATCAATTAAGGTTTAAAAATAGTATTCTTACGAACTTTAAGTCTTGAAAGGGCTAATAAATAAATAATCAACAAACTTAGGCAAGCCACACAATATTGTCTATAAGAGTTTGATGGGTCCTTCATTTACTGATTTGAAAAATATATAGCTCTTGTTTAATTGTATGTCCAAAGTGAAATAATTTTTGATGTAGGAGTTTTTTTGTGGTAAATTTTACTAAATTTTAGTGTGGTGGAAAAATCATAGAAACATGTAGATTTTACCTTCAACAATGTCTTTCAATTTTATAGTTAAATGAAAGGGATGAAAAAAATAGGTCCTGTAGTTTAATATTTACCTCTCTGTACTCTTGGGTGATCCCTGTTGATGACATATGTATTTCCAAGTAAAACTCGCATAAGCAACATTTTCAACTCTTCGCCCGCAGGTGAGCGGTTGTTCTTTGGATCTAAAGGCATCAACAAAAAAAGACAAGCCATGTAAACCGACCAAGAGACAAACGGCCAAGATATAGATACATGCTAGCAAATATATCCTGGCTTCTCAGGCTTACATTTTTTATGATTGCCACATGCTGATTTTCAACAACAACACCAAAAATTGCATCGTATGCTACAAAAGCCATATAGCTATTCAGTCACACTTTTGGTTTCTTACATGACTTAACTATAATCAATTAATAATAGATGTTATGAAATGGTAACTCCTCTTTATATACCAATACAAGCTTTTTTAACCTTACGTAAATATACACAATGTCATAGAAAAGTCCTTTTCAAACTGTGTGTTGAGAAATATATGTATTTCCGCTGAAGTAAATTTTTGGGATAAACAAAATGGTACAAGTACAATGGTAGAGGAAACTACAGAATATTATAGTAAATTTGAATAAAATAAACACCAGTATGTAAGGAAAAGGAGAATTATCATAATAGCGTAGGTAAAAATTTTTCTATGAGGGATGAGATAGTCATTGGGAACAGAAGTTAAAGAAGGAAATTCTGAAATATTTTCCAAAACTGCACTTAATAAAATTTTCACATACTGAATACTAATAATAATCTGCAATTCAAAAAAGTATTGGCTTCTGTTAATGAAGTATGGATAAGGGGATTTAAAAAGCTTTTGAATTCGATTTTCAAAAAAAACCACACAGGCTTATTTTAAAAAGCATTTTAAAAATTCTGCAGTCCTTTACAACATATATTTAAAAGGAGCATGGAAATTTTAAAATGTTTATGACGAAAGGACAGTGTCTTTAAATAACATTCCATAGAATTTTCAAATTCTGTGCTCATCCCATCATGCTCTGGCATCTCATAAAATATTAAGTAGTTGGTATTCAATAATTTTAAATTGTTGCATAAGTTTCATTTATTAAGGGTTGTTACAGGTCCACAAAAATATGAATCTTTTCTAACCCCTCCCCATTGTCTACACTTGTCCACAAGTGGCTTGCACCACTCCTCCCCCATTGGGGAAGTTTCTATACAGCATTTTACACAGTGAGTTTTTTTGCAAAAGTGAGGCCATTTAAAAAATTAATGTTTTTCTCTGTTGTTAAGGTAACAATTTAAGTAGCTCTATTTTTCACCCAGTTATTCTGATGACCTAAAGTATTGATTCACATTGCCTTTAAACATTTAACTTAATTATAGGTCTAAGCGGTTCATTTTTTAAAAACTCATTTTTTTGTCAAATTAAAACAACTTTCTGTTAGTTGATTTAGAATAAGTTAATTTTGTTCTATTAGATTTGTCTGAGTAATACCACAGAAATTTATTCAACTAATGAAAGTGATATAAAAAATATGAGAAATGGATTTTAATCTGAATTGAAGTGGATAGAGAACTAAGCCAAAATGCCTTTGCAATATAATCTTATAACAACTGAATAAAATTTAAAGCTAAAGAAAGCTTGGAAAAGAAAGAAATAAGTACATGAACAATTATACAAGGCTCTTGACTAAAGTTTTCCTATTCAGTGTAGAATGATGAAAAACAAATTTTAAGTATGTGCCAAAATGCATCCTTACATTAAAAATTTTGTGGGGCGGGGCTTGATGAGCCCCCTCTCCAGGTCCCGCTCCCTGCACTTTCTGTGTCAAAAGTAAACTTTATAAAAAAAGTTTACATTTACCATATTTCTCACTCACAATTCCATTTGAATATGAATAACCTTCATTTCTAACAACATTCCATTCGAAAAAATTGGTTTCATACTAATCTCTGGTATATCTACTGTTATACGGTTCAAAAATGCCCGGCAGGATAATAACAAACTATTATAAAGAGCTAAGTCCTTAAAATTCATACGATTTTAACTTCTAAATATATATGATAATATAAATCACTAGATTTAAGACAAGCAGACCTGAGAATAAGAGAGAATTTATTTTAAAAAGATTAAAATCCTATTATTTACATTTGTTGATGAATAGTATCCAAATATGTGAGCATCTGAACTTATTCCCCCCCCCCACTCCCCCTTTTTTTTCTCTTCAACCTAGTCAAGGTCTTTTGCGGAGAGGCCCTTAGGTACACATAAATATTAATAAATAAAATCATATTTATATTGAAAATGTATACTTTTATCATACTATACACATGCAATTTATAAAAATGGTGATTAAAGATGATAATAATAATAATACCTTAATATTTTTTTAAAAGATTTTCTCTTTACAAAACAGAGTTTTTTTTTCTACTTTTGTATTTGATTACATTTGGAAATGGTAATTCTAAACTTGAATTTTGTGACCCACTTCTTTTTGTATTGAAAAACTTTTTTTTCAATGAAGTAGTAGTAATAACTAGTAGTAGTAGTAGCAGTATATCAGAATAAAAAATTCAAATAAAAATTAAGTATAATTCAACATTACTATTTAGTAACAACTCATGTTGTATTAGCATTTTTACTTTAATTTGTGTAAACACAACCAGGTCAAGCTGAGGTCAAGTGATACCTAAATTTCACAGTAATTATAGCATCTCTGCCTCCGATTAATTGTAAAATGATGCTGATGTATAGCTGACCCTGGTATCTAAGATGCTAAAAATTGGTGCAGTTATATGCACTGCCTAGTTGAGTAGCTAGGGTTAGTGCTGTTCATCCACCACTGGGAGTGCGCACGAGAACATCTGAAGATATCCTCTCCTCCCCCCCCCCCCCCCCCCCCCCCAAACACAAAAAAAAAACCAACGAATAGAAAAATAGACACGGCATCTATATCACTTATAAATCAGGAATGAGATAAATCCCCACTTTACAAGGAAAGCTGAATGGCTATGTTGCAAAATGATGTAGTTTTACACTAACATTAAAAAATGGAAAACTCTGCAATAGAACCTTTAAAGGGCATTCAATTAAAATTGGCTGCATTATTTGAGTGTTGATGCCATTTTTAGATAATTTTACATCTAATTTTAAAATAAGTTTTATAGAAAAAAAATGCTATTGGGCCATGACAATACTTTAAACTGACTGGATGTGTTGAGTTGGGACTAGACTAGGCAAGGTTTATAATGAAAGTTGTGTGTATCAAGTTTAGACCAGATGCAACAATCAAGGTAAAAACTTTATAGAATATAGACACAAAAAACAAACAATTTAAAAAAATAAATGATCAAATTTAACACAAAGAAAACAAACACTTTTTAAAAATAAATGATCAAATTGTAACAATTCGTTTAAAATTAGACGTGAACCATAAAAAGGAACCCTACCTCATCCCACCAATGATGTAAACTTAAACAAATAAAAAAAAAAATTACCTGCATACTGATCCGACTTGATTGATGCTTCTGCTAAATACACACCGCTACCAAGCATTGCGTTTGTGCAGAGTTTAGGATCGGGGCCATGTTGAGTCAAAGCATCAATTAGGTTACTTTTTGTTCCATGAAAAAGATAATGTTCATTGACTTCATGATACAGTTGATCCTTCAGGGTGCTGCTGAGCAGCTCAGTGGTTCTTATCTGGCCTCTTGGTAATGTTGTACTGAGATCATCACACATCTTCCCCATCTCAGCATATTTTGCAAATAAATTTTTCCGTGTCTGGGCGTAAGGCTCAAATAAAAGAGGGTTCTCAATCCTCTCAACATTCAACACCTCACAACCTGCGTTAGATACCAAACCTTTGGCATCTCTTCCTAGCCCTGAATGTGTTGAATCCCAAGTTTTTTCAAATAGCTCAACAATCGCCTTTTTTGTTGCTTTGTCCACAGCTACATTTATTACGTGTTTTTTTTCTGTACCTTTAAATCTATAATTTAAAGCTCCAAGCACACGCTTCAAGAAACTTGGTTGTTGACAAAATCCCCAATAAGATGGGCACATTTCTGTTATGTTTGCAGCATACATTAAGAAATCCATAGTACCACGAGGCGGGGCATCACCTGACGCCAGAATTTTATTTTGCATAGCCATTTGTATTTTACTGAGCTCTGTTCTTATGAAAGACTCCAGCTTTTTGACATGTTTTTTAAATCCTTTAATGATAATTTTTCTCGGATGAGATTCTGTCCCTGCCGATTTCCTAATATACACTAAATGATTTTGAGCCTCTTCCTCAATCACTTGGTCTAAGACTAACAGCATCTTGTTTTCAAACTCAGCAGTATGCAAACACCTTCTTTTGATCAAATCTTTTAATTTTGTAAGTGTTTTTTCGGGGTCATCCATTTTCATCATTGTAACAGAAATTTCTAAGTCACCAGCTTCTGCCAAATCTAGAATGGTTTTCTCATCTGTATCGTCAGCGCTTTCATCGCCACTGCTGGAATCAATGTCAAGAGGTGTTGGCGAGCAAGCCGTCAGGTTCTGCTGGGCAACAAGTTTAAGGGTGTCAAGCATTTCTTGGTCATTGATCATTATAATAACTTCATCCAGGGCTGGGTCAGACGATAGATAAGTCTGAAGAGTGTCTATAATAATCTGAGAGATACATTTTGGTGGAAATTTGAACATTCTACCATGACCTAAAGTGGGTAGCGAGACCGACCTGGCACCCATTTTGATGGCCTCGTCAAGAACATTCGTTAGTATACTCGCTAGTGTAGTTGGAGAAGAAGCCTCATCCCAAACGCTTAATATGACGCCACAAATGGCTAGGCAAGATAATAAAGGGGGTGAAAAGGGTCCTTTAACTATATGGACAAGAGACGACGGGTTCTCTTTGTGCATGGTTTTCAGTTGCTCCATTAGCTGAGAACATGCTGAGTTGAAAGCCTTTCCCACCAGTGTCTTTTTTAAATTGATAGATTTATCTAATACACAGACAAGCACGTCAGCCTTTTCAGTTATTATATCTCCTTCTTTCAGTAGAATCCTACACGATGTTCCCGCAGTAAAAATATCAGATTTAGCTTGAGTTTTTTTATTCATATCTTTAAGGTCAGACTCGTCTGGCATTTTAACCTTGAGAAAGCATTTTTCCTGCCTTTCAAATTCCTCGAGTTTATTTTTAACTTCAGGGGTTTTGAGTCCTAAAGTTATAACTTTAATATCATCAATACTGAAGTATTCCTTTTGGAAATCTATTTTACGAGTCACAATGTTATCAACGAGCGCCTGTAGCAAACTTTCCACTTGGCTGACCGAGCTATTTTGACCAGTAAAAGTGTAAGTCATAGGACCTTTGCTGTAGCCCTCATCGTAAGACCAGTCTCTAACATTTTGAAATATTGATTTAATTTTTGGTGATGGATGACAACGTAGGTAACTGGCCTTATAACTTTCAATGACGAAGGTTCTAGTAACCTCACTAAATTTTTCAATCATCGCACATACGTCTTGTTTTGATAAGAGTACGTGGTCTTTGACACCTTCTGAGAAAATTTCTTCTTGGTTTACGCTCCATGAAATGTTAACTAAAAGTTCTTTTTCTAATTTTGTCTTCAAGGTTTCCAACTGCTCTAGTGGTATCTGGCAATTTACTGTCGTAAATGTTTCTTTATAGTTTAAAACGTCTCTCAATCTTTCGGCAGCATTGTTTAAGGCATTGAAGCTCCTTGAAACTAGAAGAAGCTGATCATTGTCGATACAATGTGTTACGCTTTCCATTTCTCTAAGATTTGTTAAATAGTGTTGCCCTTTTTCGTTTGCAAGTAATTGGGGCAGACATCCCTGTAAATTTAGACTATCTTTCTCTATTTCTCTAAGTTCTGAAAACATATTCCAATGGCGGAGAGAAACATCTTTTTCGTCACCTTCAAAAACAGCTTTTTTCTCATCCTGCAAAAATTCAACGCTACAGTTATCAAATGTACCAAAGTGTTCCTTTAATAGCAGATAGTGTGCTTGGCTCATTGCATGCTCTTTCCTTTCCTTTGGGAGATTATTTTTTTCAGAGCATAAGGAAAAACTAGCAACTTTTTCAACAGGTTTATCAAGTGATTCATCTTTACACTTGGCCTGTTTAAAATTTTTTTCATTTTTTTCTGTATCTGATAAGTCTGGGTCACCTTTGTTGCCATCTGGATTGCTTTTTTCTTTTCTAATATTACTTTTACCCTTCTGTTTGCCCATGTTTTTCTCCTCGCTGTCATCTTCCGACTCTGAGTATGTGTTATTTCCATCGCTACCTGTTACATCTGAAAAATTGCCCTTATGCCTGCCAGTATTTTTACATTTTTGGTCTTCACTGCTAGTACTCTCGTCCGATTCTTGTTCACTGTGACTCTCTCTTTCACACTGGTCTTCACTATCCTCATCCGATTCTTGTTCACTACTGTCTTCACTACTGTTATCTGATTTCGATTCACTTTCACTAGAGTCATCTTCTTTACACTGAGATGTGACTTTTTCACAGCAAGGTATTTCAGCTTGGACACTCTCATCTGAGGGTAACCTCTTTTCCACTAAATCATGGAAGTTGTAATAATAGGGTTGGATACTAACAGTAGCACCATGCACTGGTCTGTGTTTGTCTTTTTTAAGTAATTTTCCAACCACTGTAAAAAGCAATTATTAAAAAATATTGTTCAATGCATAAAGGATTTTGAACAGTAAATGCACTAACAATTCATAACTGTCTCAAATTTTAAATCATAAACCTAATTAAATCTGAAAAATACCTATAACTTCTCAAATGTTTAGCTAAAATTAACTATTATTTAATAATCATAATTTATGCAATTTTGAAAATTTTAAACAATATTTAATGTTTAATTTTTATCCAGTCAACATAGTATTAAGTTTAATAAGTAAAATGTATATTAGAAAAGACAATTATAAAACACCCTCAAATATTATTTATGCAAACACACAACCCCCCCCCCTCCTCTCCCACCCTCTCCCCCCATAGTTTAAATGCCAGACAAAATGGACTATTTAGACTAATAAGAAAAAGCCTACTTATAAAAATCATCCACCGAAGTGTTGTAAGACACCCTTTAACTTGGCATAGAATTTAAAAATCGACTTTTTATGCATACATATTGCGTTTTACTAGTTTAGTTAAGGCTGCTATGATAAATCCATAAATTTTAGAAAAGGATGAAGAAAGTGTGTTGCTGAATATAACAGTAGAACAGAATATGCCAAAGCTTGAAAGGAAGGAGAAAAAAAAGGACATCCAAACAAACATTTCGGCCAGAACTCTTCATCAGCAGACTAAGTAAACATTTGATTGTCCTGTTGTTTATTTTCCTTTCAAGCTTTCACACATCCTTTTCTGCTATTTCATTCACACAACGCAGTCCCTTATCCTTTATATTTTGAACAAAAAGGAATTTTTATAAATATGAAAATACTATTTCGTTGTGTATACTTTCCAGGTGTGTAAACTAGGTAAGACGAGGTAAATGGCAGATGGGAGGGGCTGGAATAAATAAAATTACTCCTTACATTTCTCAGACCCTGGCTTGAAATGAATTATTCCCAATTTGAATTTCTTCCAGAATTTGCATGATGATATGCACCCTTTTCCATCTTTAAATTGTTGTTCAAAGTATTTTTTCAGAGATGTTTTGTGTATTACGTCAGACTTGTAATCATAAATTGCAACAGCATTTTCATTGTTTTCATCAACTGGCAGCAATTTTATAGTACGTCCTTCGAGTGTGACTTTTTTCACTCTTTTAGCGGCTGCTTCAAAATCTGAAGAATAAAAGTATAGATGTCTTAGTTTAAACTGTTTTTCTGGAATTTAGAGTTTACAGAAGTTTTAGACTTTTTTAAAGCTGGTTTGTCATTCTAAATTTTATTAACTCAATTTGAGTCTGAACTAAATAAGAAAAAACTTATTAACGAAATAGGAAAATAGTTTAAACTGCGGCTTTATCTTTAAGTTAAATGAAAATAAATGAACTATTCCAAACATTTACATGTGGACATACTATAAAAGCCTAAGGATGATAGAAATCTTAGTGGCAACAATATAATTAAAAATGTTTCGTTGTTCCACTTCTCTAGATAAAGTTATTAGCTTATATATTAGTCAGTTTAGTGCATATTAAAGAAAATTTCTTTCTGATCTTTATAGGCATAAACATTGTGATGCATAAATAAGCATTTTAAGTAATTCCTGGCTAATAATAAATATTTATCGAGTAAAATGTCATGTGAAGCCCTTCACACAGCAAAATTGTAACATTTTCCTTGAGCCGGCAACACTAAAGTTTATTTACACAATTTTATTATGGAACAATCTATTAAATTGCTAGAAGTATTTTTTTAAGTTTTCAATGGTAGTAAGTATTAAAGTAAAATCTATAATTTTGTAACTTTGACCACAGGTTTATTGTAGTAATGCTGAGCTCTACCGTCGAGGTTATGTTCCAGCGAAAATAGAGCCAAATCTCCTATAATCTTGGCACATTGTACGTCTACATCCAGGGTAGCTTCTATGTGTTCAATCATCAATTCCTCGCTATACGAGAGAGGAATATTCTGTGTGAAAAAAATTATATCAATTTACACTTTTATGCAATCTCTGTTTATCTTCCAAGTTTCTGTACTGAAGTCAAACATTTTTATCATAATATTGAACCTTTTTGTTGGACTGTTTTACAATAGGTTAGGCTTAAAAATATGGCTTTTCTTAAGGTTTAATTTTAAAAAATCTTCTGTCTGTCATGCTGCAATTAAACATTTTTTTTAAATATTTCAATTTGAAAGAATAACATTCCATTCTTGTTTTTTTTTTATGTTTTTTTTTTTATGTTGTTATTTTTGTTCTTGTACTACATATTCAATCCCTTGTCCCCTGAGGCTTATGGCAAACCCACCCTGTGATTTATATTATAATAAACTTACAATGCAAAGACAGCTATGTAACCCATGTTTGCTGTATTAAGGAATCCCAAAAAATCTTATTTTGACGATTAATTTTGCAGGTAAAATGTAAATGACAAACATCTAATTTTCATAAATTCATAGATGCAGCAGTGGCTTTTCCACAAAACCTAACAAGAGCATGGTCTTCGGGCATAACATTCCAATGGACAGCATAAATAAATCTTTAAAATTAATATTTAACACACCTGTATCAAACTGGGCTTTCAACTTAACATGCTAGTTATCTTTAAAAAATGTATATTCTGTCAAATTTGAACGAAAATATAACTATCTTTCTAATGTCAATAAATTACTTTTTTTTTTTGTACTGATTATACTTTTTTTAAACTAACAAAATTAGTTTTTACTTGAGTTTATTTATTTCAAACATGAGCTTCAACTTACATCAAGAACTATTAAACTTGTATCCATTATTTTAAGATAGTTGGTATTTGCAAGTAGGCGATGGTTTTTCTGCAAATTCAACTTCACCAATGAATACTGTATTCACCTAGAGAAATAATAATATTTAAAACTTAATATTATGACTGTTTATTTAAGTTAATGGAATTGTTATTCACAGTCGCCTAATCACGGTAGCAAATCATTTATCGGCTGGGAATAATGTTTGGCATTGTACATTATTCCCAGCCATTTAAAAAAATTTAGGACTAGAGTTAAACCATGGACATGTGTTAGGTAGGGCGTAATCATCTTCTTAGAAGATAAGATAAAAGAAAAAATAATAATAGTGCTATCATAATAAAGTCTGTTAAAACAAATTATTGATTCAAAATACAGCCCATAATTTACCTACATTCCTTTTTTTTTATTGCTAGTGGTAATAAACCATTTATCAGCTAGGAATAATGCTGAGGGTTATAAACAGCATTAGGACCCCTCCATTAAGACATTAAGTTACTAACTCTAAAAAAGAGAAGTGAGGAGAGCAAAACATACTTACCGAGTATAGACAAAGAAAAGCAAAATGTAACTTCATTGTAAGAGCTCTTTGACATTAGTATCAGCTTATTTATGTACGTTTATATAGATTTTAGACCAAATTTTCAATACTTTTTAATGATGGCGATGGTTTTTAAACATGTGAGTGAGTAAATGTAAAACAGAAACACTGTCCACTGTCCATTGCCGATTATGTTTGCAACTCACATTCACAGGCAATTTTCAATAGGCAATATCAAGATAAAACCATCATCTATGACTATGCATCTAAATCTTTGATGATGATCATCAACAATTTTTAAATTAAGTAACTATTATTTAATAACATACAATTATTTATAGAAATAGAATTGATACCTCAATACTCAATACCTGTATTTTATTATCCTGTATTTAGAACATATTCATTGACCTTTGCCTTTGCCTAATAATATTATTATTAGTATTAGTAATATGATATACATCTGAATTCTGATGAGCAGTGTTAATAATAATAGTTTCTTACATGTCTTTGTTGTTGTTTTTTCTTTATATTATATTAATGTTTCCCATTATTAATGTCATCAATCATCAATCGTTTATTTTCACAAATCTTTTGAAAGGGCGATAACTTTCATTTTAAAAAATGAAAAGAGATAAGCCAGCGTTTTTAATTATAATTCTAAGAATGAAACTGAATTTACTAAATGTTACTGTAAGTATTACTATTGCTAATGATGTGTAAATGAGATAATATGTAGATGCTCTTAGCAACTAAAATCCTTCTCAAACCTTAATTAAGGTTGCAACTGTGTTTGTGCAGTATGTCGGCGTCGGATAATTTTAGTTTGGGAATTTCCATTTTCGTTTTTTTCCCCAAAAAATCAGTTTCAACATTTTCCTGTAAATGAATTATCGGAAATTTCAGTTATAACGTTTCGCTGAGTAGATACTTTTTGAAAAATTAACAATTATAAGTAAATTATAGTAGTAATTTACTAATTCTTTGCATTAAATTTTATTTTCATATTTTAGCATCAAGCTTTTTTGTGTGAAAAAAGAAAAAAGCTCTGTCTTGTTATTTATTAATATATAGTGAAAAAATTTCATTGCAGTAGCTTTAATTTAATTAATACTTTGGTCAAAAATGTAAACATTTTTTTTTAAAATAAACCAATGGCACAGTTGAATAGAGCTAATTTTAAACAGAATTATAACACCAAAATCATATTTTTAGCTGTTGTAGTTTTAAAGTTATGAATTTTTAAAGTACGACTTGGTTTGTCCTTTTTTAACATGGACTGCATCTCCACATTCTGTGACCTCATTCCGCCGATCGCGTCATGCGCAATGACTATATAGTTTATATAAGGCTAAGGCATTCCCTTATCACTAAAATACTGTTTAGGGTCGATTTATTTTAAACTTTCAACTTTGGCACATGAATAATTAATTAAAGCTTTCCCTGACCAATGGTTTAATAGTTTTTGCACACGGCAAACACTTATGAATGAAACTCTGAGATAGTACTACGATAAAGCAGTTATGCAAGTGGCTGTGAATGGTTGCCAATGACAACGTGTTGCACAGGGAAAATTCTGATCATTTATATTATGGACTCTGCAGGGTTTTTAAAGCTCAAATTAAAACATTTCCAGTTTAAATGTCTTCAAAATGCATTCTGAAACACAAAATATAAAATATTTTGATGTATATAGTGGTAATAATTAAATATTTCCTAAGTATCGGCAACTTCCGCCATTAAAAAGGGGGCGTGGCCCACGCCATGTCGAAATAAGGCTGAGCCCCCTTATGGTGATATGGGTCACTGGGAGAAGCGTAGCGAACGTGGGACACGACCTACATCAATGAGAATTGGCACAGATATATATCAATATCTGATGCCTTACACGATTTAATATGAAAGACCTGTATTTTATATTTCACAAAAAATTTTGCATGCGAAGATGCCTTATATATACCAAAGATTTCCAAAATAAAGGTCGATTGAAAAAGCAAAATAGTTGGATGGAAATGTAGGCCAAGATGTCTTCCAAATTATAAGGCCGGAAACGGAACTCAAATATATGTCCAAAGAACTAATTTAATAATAAATAGACACACACATCGGAAAATTAAAAACTCGGATTTTTCGGCGCCGACGCCCATTTCCGATACAAAAAAAGTAGTAGTCTCCCTTGTTTTATCGAAGTAACTTTATTAGTTTAAAAGAGAACCTCTCAATCTCAAAAATCCAGAATCTTACTCGTTAAGAGAAACACTCGTTAAACAAAACAATGTTTCCCATACAAACAAATCAATGTAAAATGCGATAATGCGTTACATGCTGAAAAAATACTCATTTTTCAAAACATTTTATTAACATTTATTAAAATAAAATTACTTGTAACAACTTGGAATACAATAATTTATTGAAAATCGTATAGTATCAGCGAAAATAAGTTTCGCCTTCTCACAAAAAAATGTTTTCGTAATAGTGACACCTTGTAATCGCTTTTTGTTTATCCATATTAGAAGCAACCTCTCAATATTATCAAGAATACGTAACCGTTTCGTAGACATTCTTGACAATCCCTTTGAAGCATCCATCTCCTTAATTTTGTTTTTGTTCTTGAGAATAATGCAGATCGTTGATGTTGACCGATTGTATGTGCGCGCTAGATTAGCCACGCTCACACCTTGTTCTCGCTTTTCATTGATTTTACGTTTCATTTCAACAGTTATTTTTTCTCTCCTATGATTGTCTTCTTGTAGCTTTTTCTTCGAAGACATTTTAGTACCGGTTATTACACTTTGCACATTAAAAAAAAATATGAATACTGTCTGAATACAAAATGTGTAAAAATTGGTGATCACACACGAAAACAATAAGCTAACAGTGCTTAACACAGACTAATGCATCGGCACCATAAAATTGTACAGACAGTGTTCGGGATCCCTAACTGAGTCATTTAGATTGCTACAACAGGCGAGACATTACCCCACTATCACTCAATATAACAACGGATGTAGATGAAATTCTCAGTCAGAAACAGATCGGCTTTACCACTTCTTTGACTTAAGGCCAATCTTTGAGCAGATTCATGGATGAAATTCATCTTTGTGTACCGGTATTCATTTGTGAAAATATGTGAAAACCTTCACCGAGTGCCTAATTCGTAATTTCTAGTTAAAACAATGGTCGGAGGTCAAGATATTCATATGACCATGCAGTCTATCATTTTCATGGACCATCCCTCCAAGCTAAATAGCGTGAATTCACTAAATTCAGTCGTGTAGCTGGAGCTGGGGATTTTCGAATTATTGCTGTTTTGGTCACGTGGTACCCTATATGACGTCCTGTTTGATATCAAACCTTCAGCAAGCTCTTGCAGACCATGCAACTTGATGTAAACTGATATGTCCAAAGTCTAATCCGTTTCTACACCTATACAGAGACGAAGGATTTGCATCGGTAATGACCACTTCATTATCATGGTCAGTGGTGCTACTGCCTATGTAGGGTCCTGGCCTTCCCCACAACATCATTCCATTCGGATCGATCCATGGCTTTCCGCTGCCATGCGCGAACCTCCAGCTGATGTAAGTCCTTCTCTACATCGTCGGTCCATCTCTATCTTGATCGACCGGTGAATCGTCGGCCCATAAGTTTATGCCTGTAGATCAAGGTTTGCTGCCCCACAATCCGGAGTCCTCTCAAGGTGTCCTGTCCAGGGCAGTCTGTCTTTTTTAATTGTTGCGACTGTGGGTGGATCTTCATAAAATTGAACCATTTCTTGGTTTGTACGGATTCTCCAATCCATCATTGATCGTATAATATTTTCATGAGGATTTTCCTCTTCCATGTATTGAGCAGGTCATCTGCTTTTCTGGTAAGGGACCAACTCTCACTTGCGTAAATTACAACAGGTCTTATGATAGTGTTGTATAATGCCTTCCTTGTTCTCTTTGAGACGTTTTTGCTACCAAGTTACTTTTGTAGGTTAAAATAAGAAATGTTGCCTGCTTAAATAAGAACCGTTTTCTGTTGTTAGCCTTTCTTTTCTCTTTGTCTTTATTTCATTGTGTTCATTTATAGTAATAGTAGCTCCTAGATATTTGAAAGTGGCCTCTCGGGTAGTTTCTAATGGTTCCACTGGTGATGACATATATATGCCTCTAATGACTTTTTATAACCTCACATTACACAGGATACATGATGTATATCATCCATCCATCCATCTATCCACATATGGTGAGTATCCTTTCTGGGGCCCTGATTAGTTGGGACTCCCTCGAGTACTCTACCTGTACTTTGATTATACTTTTGGAGTTTGGAGTTAGCCATCTTCATATTTATGAGCCGGGTAAGATTTTAGGGAATTCAATTTCCTTTAGAGCATCATACAGATATTTTCTGTCTGTGGCGCCATCATAATCGTTTTTGTAGTCAACATATAATTGGTTTATGTTGATGTTGTATTCGTAGTATTTCTCCAGGAGACATCTGATAGTAAAGATGGTATCTCTGATTGATATATTCTGAAGGAATCCGCATTCATAGTCCCCAAGGATCTGTTCAGCAAACTTTTCCAGTTTCCTTGCCATTAGTTTAGTTAGGATTTAAGTTACATTAAGTGAAATGAATATTTTGTCGCGTTCTTCTTGTCCCCCTTTCCAGCATCATTAGCCAAGCTTTGTTTCTTTCGGCGAAAGTTTCGCCTTTAAGTTCTCTCGTTAGATAAAATGTAGAATATTCTAAAACTAACAAAGTGAACCAAATACCTTGTATGGCGTGACCCATTATGAACAGTAGGCTACTGTAGGACCCGGTGTGACTATGACGTGGCTAAATGTCAGATCGACCGGGGGTACATAATGTCAAAGGCCCCGCAAAATTTAGTTTGCCGAAGACCCCGCACCCTCTTAGCGACGGGCCTTATTACAAAAACCAAGTTATCGTGTTTATAGACCACTGCTTAATGCATCATGCAAAAATAGATGCGAACACATTAAATGAAGATGCCGTCAATGCCTATAGACTTTTGCATTTAAATTAAATATAGAACACTTTGAAAACCCGATTTCTTTTGTTCAGTATTTGGAATTTCCAAATCATGATAAATATTTCAACTTTTCCCTAGAATTTCAAAAAAACGCTCATTTCCCATTTTATTTGTTCAGTAACAGCATCAGCAATAAAAATGACAGTCACACATTCACTTGTATCTGAGTGGATCTCAAATCTTTAAAGCGTTTAATTCATTTCTATTTAAAACTTTCATCAAATATGAAAAATAGTGCTCGATTATTGATTAAACTATAACAAACGACTATTTAAGTTTAGTTTAAGGCATAATATGCCGCATATACTTTAAAAAAATGTTTGTTGCATGAAACGTTTGAATAAACAAATAAATATAGAGTTAGT